AAGTGCCGAAGATTAGAGGTGTTACAAGAGAGTAACAAACACAAACAAGAAGGAGGAGAGATAAAGACGATAGATGTTTGCTAGGAAAGAAGGAGCAGACAACACCAGAGCACCCGCCAACCATCCACATGTACATTTTGCCACAAACAAAGAAACTCGTCAACAAACACAAACAGACAACAGTCAACACAAACAGACAACTGTCAACACAAACAGACAACAGTCAACACAAACAGACAACTGTCAACACAGACAACTGTCAACACAGACAACTGTCAACACAAACAGACAACTGTCAACACAAACAGACAACTGTCAACACAAACAGACAACTGTCAACACAGACACCATCAACAACACCTACAGGATCTTCATGAGCAGACTTTTCTGTGTGTTGGCCAGTCTGTAGGTGAGCAGTTTGCTGTTGGCGTACGGGTCCACCCGCGGGTTCTCCGGCTTGCGGATCGGAGGAAGGACAGGAAATCCATCGGGCCGGATGCCGGACTTGGCCGGTGGTTTGTTCTGTAGCGGGTCCAAAGTGTCGGTGCGAGGCGAGGCCCGGCCGTTAGCGTGTCCTTTGTGTGACGACATGGCTGATTACTGGAGGGAGAAAGACACAGGAGAAATATACATGGTGGTATTTTTAGAAAAGCAGGCTCTATCAATAAACGCTATCAATAAACGCTATCAATAAACGCTATCAATAAACGCTATCAATAAACGCTATCAATAAACAGTATTAAAAAAACCAGTGTCAATCAACAGTATAAAAAAACAAGTACCAATAACCAGTAGAGAAGTACCAGGGGCTAACTTTATGCCTTGACTCATCACTTATTTAATTTGAATCACACAGGGGGTAATTTTTTCTCCAAGCTTTACTTTCGTTCCACTAACACACAGAGTGAAAGCATCGCACGAGGTCCACGAGGTCCAAGTACAGAACTGTTCGCTATAACAGAACTCATCACTTTATCACTGTTTAAGAAAGTAACTGAAGCAGTCGACGTCCTAGATGAGCAAAACTCCTCCTTCAACAGGGGCCACCGGGAACTTCTGTATTTGTAACGATTCTGTTCGTCTAGATCTATGTCTTGCACTTGTTTCAACACTCAAGAGCGATATACCATTCAGTTTGAAGGCCTACGTCTAGGATTATGCAAGTCATGTCAAAAGCCACATTCTTGTCTTGTCTAAGCCGATGATGGAAGTAGACTTGCCTACTTAAAATTTGAAAATCAGAAACAATTAGCATTTTTTTAGTAAACAATTGGTAAAATTCTGTAACATAGTCTAATCAATCTAGCATATTTAGAAGCTAAAAAAAATCACCACAGTTTAAAATCACAATTGTCAATATTACTTGTAACTTGTATTTTCACATTTGTATTCATTGATAAAATACCCTGTTTAAATATCTAGATCTAGATGTAAAAACGATTGAATCGCACAACGCTGTTTAACTTTGTTCATTTCAAATTACAATCGCCGTTGTGACTTGCCAAATCCTAGTGCGATAGCCAATCATAGGGCTAGGGGCTTTATAGGGCCTATCATTCGCGCCATCTTCTGCTTTGTTTTCATTTTCAACATCACCCTCGACTTTAAAAAAGGGCCCGAAACGTTTTAAAGAGACCAAAAACATGATCCACACTCGATCTAGAATCTCCTTTCATTCTGCATCTGATGAGTTTTCCTGTTGTATTCCAAACTGAATAAATACACAGCTAAATGATGAAGCCTCTTCTAATTCTGTGCCTAGAATAGAAACCAAAGTTTGACGAGCCTGCTCAGCTGTCAAGCGCTTAGGTCTACTCGATGAGGTGGGCGAGGACATTTTTTTAGTTCACCAAAACACTGCATGCAATTTTTCAACAAATTCAGCTCAAAACAACACTCCAGCAGACTCCACCGGACATTTTCGTAATCTTTAGTGTCTGCAGGAAGAGCTAAAACTTTTGAGAGTGACTAAATCAAGTTAATGTAAAAGATGGACCTTAGTTTCTGAAACAACTCTGAGCTGCCGCGGCAACTGGCCAGTGTGTGGAATACGTCTGCGTCGAATATTCCGCAGGTGGTGCATATAAAGAATTTATACAGTTATCAGGGTTCAAAGTTGTGTGCTCCAGCTAACCGACCGTAATTTTTTTATTTTTTT